AGCCCCACTCCCTTTTCCGCGACTCCTACGGCTGGACTCGACTCTCGGGGGAGTCGTCGGGAAGACTCCATCTTGCCGACAACTTCTGCGGTTCACCTGAAGACATTAACCTTCAGGTCCGGAGTGTGTGTGTGTGTTTTTTTTCTTTCTTCTTTTTCCTCTCTCACTTGGTCTTCATCAGTTCTTCTTCTTATTCATTACTATTTTTCATTTGTCCAATTTTTTTGTTTGGCTTATGCCTATCCGTCGTCATCATCATCATCATCCGGGAATGTTCTTTTGACTGAGGTGCGTGGCGTGGTGCACAGCACATCAACAATCGGCGTCCTATCGGCTGCAATGCAGCATATATGTTAAAGTGTGTTGGTTTTCTGCTGGTTATATATTATCATTGTTTTAGCTGGATTAATTGGTTTTGCAATTTGACCAAAGTGCGAATGCTGCTGCTGCTGCTGCATAAATATTCTTGGGCGAAAATGACATTGATAGTATTATTATTATTGGTGAGTTTTTTGGTGGAGAATACTCAAGATTATACAGGTGGTCTCTCTCACTACAATGAAATTCAAGGGCGAACCAGGAAGCAATAATTTGTAGAAATAATTTTGCTGTGGAGATTTAGCAAATCCTATGCTGCTGGAGCCACAAATAATATTTGTTGAACTGAGAATATTGTTGTAGAGAGAGAATCCACCTGATGTATGCATGTGCTGTGCTTTACTGTGCTGTGAATAAGATATGTTGTGTGTCCCCTGCAAAAAAAAAAGATAATAATAACAACTGTGAGACAGATATTATTTAATTTGTGTTTCTTGAAAATGGAATGTAGATGGCAGAGTGTTTCAAGTTTTGTAGATTCAAGTGTGCCATTCAAAAGTGTCATTTCTTATGGATAAGTGTAACTTTGATTGACTGATTTTTTTTAGAAGCAGCAACTATTGAAAATGGTGGCTTTATTGCAATGTAAGGGTTCTTTTCTGAAAATTGGAGAGCTGGGAAAATGCAGTGAATCTCTGATGACTAGTATGATGAGATTGTTCCCAACCAGTTACAATTTCTGAAGATTATTTCTTCCCCATGTTCATTTAAAACATGACAAAGAAATTTTAAAGCCCAGGGAAAAATAAAGTGATTTTCTTTTTAGGTCGGAACTTTGTTTTTTCTTCAGGAAACCATACACACAAGGAATCATGGTGACAAGGCAGTTTGAGCTCAATCTCAGTTTTCTTCTCCTTATTATCAAGTCTCATATTTTATATTCAGAATTTTATTTTTCTGCACCAGGCTGGAATTTTATTCAATCAGGTCTCCATTTGAAAAGTTCAAGTTGCATGCATTAAATTTGGTGTGAATTTTGCAATCTATTTATTTTCTAATTTGAGGACAGATTTTTATCACATTACCTCAAGTTTACAGTGGGACCCTAAAATATTGACAATGTGACTCACAGATGCAAAAATTTCTAGAAAATAGAAATTGTTTTGCATTTTGATATCTTTTGAGCAAATTGAGCCACTTATATACTCACAACAATTGAAAAAAAATCTCCCTAGTTCATTAACATGCATATAAACAGGCCAATTTTTATTTTCTATTTCCAGAGTGTTTTGCTTCATCATTTGTGCAGACTGCCAAGTATATATGTAGACTTTTTCTTGATTTTTTGATTCTTTATAATACAGTGGCCCCCCGTCTAACAGACCTCCCGTGTAAGGGATTTTTGCAGAACAGACCAGCTCTGCAAGCAGTTTTTCCTCCTGCCCAACAGACAAAATCCACCAAACAGACTTCTTTTGGCTTAAAATTAGTGTTGAAAATTGACATTTTTAATTTTTTATGTAATTGAATTTGTGTAAAGGACTTTTCGTCTAACAGACTCGTCCCTTGCACAAATCAAGTCTGTTAGACAGGGGTTGACTGTATTGAACTCCTTATATTTTCGTGCCAAAAAATCAGATTCTCTGTGGTTTTCTTCTAAATTGTTATTCTCTGTATTTTGAAGCTGAGAAAACAAATTCATTTCAATGTCTTGGGGATTCTATTCCTAATTTTTGATGAACAGGTGAACAAATATTTAAATGTGTTCCCATTGAAGTCTATGTGGAAAAGGATGATGAGATATACGGACATTGTCTGAATCTTGAGGCCCTATACTCACTGCTGTCCATTATATATTCTCTAAAGTCCATCATTAAAATGACCAACGCACACACAGAAAAAAAATTAAAAGATAGGGAAGCTTATTAATTATTTTTTTGTTTAGCCCAAGGGAGAAAAGGCCGAGTATATAATGTGCAGTACAGCTCCGGGATCATCCGGGGTCAGGAAACAAAAGCAGTTTTGTCAAGAACTGGGGCGTTCACAGACCCTGTTTACCGACCTGGAAATAAGAATGATTCAGTGTTTCTTTCCCCTTGTCGTCCAAGTTGGTCTTCGACCTTTTGCCGAGACACACTACATGATGTACATGCATATTCCACAGCTGCAGTCGAGTATAGTTCCAGGTATTACTTGGCATTCCTTTGGGGCCCCCTTCCTCTGTCATCTATAATATAGCCTTCCTGTCCTGAATTACAATTGGTGTGTGTGTGTGTGTGTGTCTCGCGTTTTTATTCATTCATTTCATTTATTTATAAAGGGAAATGGACACCCTGCTCTTGCTAAAGAAAGATGGAGTGCAGACTATGCCTGCTGCTATACATGCATGGTTTGTTGGTTGTTCATTTGTTAGCAAGATTAATTCCTTTGTGTGCATGTATGAGTGTGTGTGTTGTGTGTGTGCAGTGTGCAAAATTCTTACAAATGGTGCACTTTTTGAATTTCTTTCTGGGATCAATCAAGTAGTAGAGCGTGCGCAGTGCGGACAAAAAAACAAAAAAAATTGAAAAAACGATTGCAGAAGTGGGATTCAAACCCACGCCTGCAGAACCAGACTGTGACCTCAACACAGCACCTTAGACCACTCGGCCATCCTGACAACTTAATGTTATTTGATGGGTTTTCAAGTAGGCAAATTAAATCAAGGTGCAAAAGGCCACAGACACATGTTACACAACAGTAGGATCCTACTGGTCATTTCTCCCACTGTAAAGTGTATGGATTGTAGTGTAAAGGCCAACTTCTTGAAGGTTCTCTTATTAGAGATCATTGAAGGTTATTTATTCTTTGTTAACCCCTTATATGTCTCAGAAAGGGTAGACAATGGGTTTTCTGGATTATAGAATATATACTGTATTATTGCTGTTGGTGGCAGTGTTGGGATGCCATTATACAGGTGGTACTTCACATCAACTGCCCCCTAATTCAATGGTCAAATTTGCTGGGAGGTTGACTTTCAATGCAACCTCTGCCATGCAATTCAACCTGATGTGGAGAGACATTAAATCTCAAATAACATGTAGAAAACATACCATTTGACATTGTCTTGCAATTTAGCTGCTTTGCAATTCCACCTTTGTCCAGCAAAAGATAAGGGTCAAATTGCTCAAGGTACCACCTGTATTATTGGAAATAAATTTCTGAATCTGGTACTTATTGCATAATGTACTTTTTGGGATGTGAATAAAGGTGGACCTCATCATTTTCCTTATAGTTGAGAAAAAATAATTAGATTTAAAAATTGGTTGTAAAAATACCTGTATAGAGATAAAACTGATAGCTTATGAGATTTGCAAGTCTTGTGTTTCAGGTTCATATTTATAGAATATTATAGCAAAGAGTTTTGAAGTTTATTAATTGCAGCCTTTTCAAAGCAATGAGCGCTACACTTTTTTGCAAGAAACTTGGAAATAAAGTGAAGTCTGGGCAAACCTAATTTGGTATACAGTATGTTGAAAATTTTCTTGTACCGCCTTGGCATGTGAAAAAATAAAATATTTCCATGATTTATTTCCATCAGTAGTAATAATGTCAATTATTTTTAACTGTTGCTTTGTTTGCACAGATTTTGTAGTGTTCATTGTTTTGAAAAGGATGCTATTTAAGAGTCATACCATTGAACTTTGATGTGTTGATTTTCATTTTCAAGTCTGTGTCAGAATTTTCTTCAGAAAATATGAATTTGAAACCTCCTTAACTCAAAGTCTTTTGCTTTCAAATTTCCATAACTTGAATTTTCTGAGGCCTTTCTGCCATTATTTCATTTATCAACAAAGGAAAGAGTTAAGTAATAAAATAGTAACTTTATGAATTTGGAAAGAGGTGAAAGATTAATTGGGCTAATGAACCTTTGCCTATCCAGTCTACTCATTCAAGAAGCAATTGAAGGCATAAAATATCACCAATTGCAATTGCCTGACTTAGATACATTTAACATTCAACTTAGAGACCCTTTAAATTGAAAAAAGTCTTCCTCAAACATCCAAACAGTGACTGAAACCTTTTTAACAGGACATCTATTGAAGAAAGAAAAATTCAAATTTTGTGGATTTTTGTATGTCCTGAAGAAATTGAGCCATTTACTTTCAAAAATGCCAAAAATCAATGTCATTGTAAAATTACCCTAATGCATACTCAAAAACAGGTTCATTTTGTGCTTTTTTTTTAAAGTTTCCTTCCATTTTGTGGCTCATCATTATAGCAAAACTTATTGTTCTTGTTCTTTGCTTCTTGAGTTCATATTCTAATGCCAAAAGATCAGATTCTGTTTGACTTTATTCTGTGCACTGATTTTCTGCATGTGGAAGTTTAGAAGAACTATTTTATTTGATTTTTGGGGGAATTTTTAACAGAGAACCAATTAAAAAGATTTCCCTTGAAGTCTATGGGAAAATGAGTTCCGACATGTGGATGTTCTGACTTGTGGACAATAAGGTCCCACTGTATTTCATATTGATTTTTATTCCTTTTCTCAGAACTACGTGACAAACAAATGGCATCCATCTATTCCTGATGGAGTCACCCTAAAATACGTGGACGCATTTTTCGCGTTTCCCGAAAATTTACCGCGGTTGTGATACGAGTGAAATGATAATCTCGGACTTGCGAAAGTCGAATACAGAATGGAAATCAAGTTTCTCAGCGTTTTCTACCTCTACTGCTGCTGTGTGCTGCTCAGCGTGGCTGTAACATCATCAACAACAATAACATCAGGTGCCAGAATAAGCACATCAGCTACTGATGATGGTCAAGTTGCCCCCGAGACCCGACAAGTCGGGTCATTCAGCAACGGGTTGAGGAACCCGTCTGGTGGCGGACGACCTGCTGCCCCGTCCATTTCCCCGTCTGCACCCAGCTTGGGCAGTGTCCTTGGCAGTGAGGCTCATTTATTTGATGATTATATACCGAAAGAAAAGAAAAAAAAGAAAAGAAACATCAATCCAATTTTCATTTTTAACACATTTTTATTAACTTGCTTTCTTGTCCGTTGGTTTGTCCGGATCAAATTTTGCAACTCGAATTTTGCTCACTTCCCGACTAGCTAGCAAGCTGAAACTTTCAGGATAGCTTAGAAACTGATGACAATGCAATCTTTTGTGAAAAGAATAATTATAAGAATATTTTTTAAAAAGAATAAAAGAATTATAGTAGATTAAAAAATTAATCTAAAAAACCACGTTTTCAAAAAGCAAAAAATAACCTTAAATGTGGTGCGCATGGAGATTGTTGGGAAGAAGTGAAATACAAATGAAATAGATGCGCACCACGTTTAAGGTTATTTTTTGCTTTCTGAAAACATGGTTTCTTAGATTAATTTTTTAATCTACTATAATTCTTTTATTCTTTTTAAAAAATATTCTTATAATTATTCTTTTCACAAAAGTTTACAATTTTTGACCTCTCTTTATATAGTTGCTGAGTCAAAAACAAGCTGTCTCATCTATAAGGAAAAATTTTTGATCAGAACCCCTTTTTTTGAATTCTCTCAATGGATATAATGGGGCCTCGAGATATGGACATGTTTGGTTCTTTATGGTAGTTGGACCATATAGTGTCTTGTCTGTTGAATCATGTTTTTCTGTAGACTTCAATGTAATGGGGAACATGATCAATTATTGGTTCTCCTGTTCATCAAAAATTTGGAATAATAGAATCCTCCAGAAATTGAATAGAGTTGTTTTTTCAACTTCAAAAGACAGAAAATAACTGTTCTGAAGAAGGCAAAACAGAATTTTGACTTTTTGACATGAAAATAAACTCATCAAAGTAAAAATAAATAAATAAAACAAGTCTAGCGAAATACAGTCAGCCCCCACACAACAGACTTAACTTGTGCAACAGACTGATCTGTTGTTTGAAAAGTCTGTTGTGCAAATCCAATTATTAATTTTTTTTAATTTTCAGCATCAATTTTTAAATCAATTGCATAAGTATGTTGGGTAGATTTAGTCCATTGTGCAGGAGGGAAAACTGCTTTGAGAGGCAGTCTGTTGTGCTGGAGGCAACTGTAAATACTCTGCACATATAATGGGGGGAAAACTCTGAAGAAAAGAAGCACAATAAAATTAGCATTTTTCATTGTACAATATTGGAGTAATTTTACAATGAAATTTGTTTTCAATTTTTGTGAATATAAATGGCTCAATTTCTTCAAAAGATGTTAAGATTCAGAAAAGTTATTTTTTGGGTAAAAAAAAGTACCTATAGAAATGTTGGGTGAGCATATATTTATTGAGACCTTATCCAGATGTCAGGACTTTTTGGTTTTATTTTCAAGTGTCCCTAAGTTGAATCATTTATATACTCAGGGGACCCACTGCAATATTGTAGACTTTGGTACCACTCCAATGCTTTTTCAAACCTCCATGTTCAAACCTGACATTTTGAAAGGTTTTTTCAGGTCATTTTTCTGAGAACCTATTAAAGCATGCAAAATATAACTTGATGCTTTACAAAGACATCAAGAGATTAATATTGGACCATGCCTCCAAGTACAGCATACTGTCAAACTCTTTCATCTGGTCATATATACTGTATAACCAAGAAAATCACCAATGTTTAAACATTTTGAAGCAAAAATGAGAGCTTTCTCAATTTGAAAACTCCCTGAGTTATTGATTTTCGTTTTTGGGTCCTTTTCCTGCGGTTCTGGAAACACCTTCCTGATCCTCTTTTACTCCTTTTTTTTCAATTTCAAATCAAAAATTTCAATATACAGGTCTTTGGTCCAGCATCACAACAACGTCCAAAGACCCCAACTGCCCAGGCACTTGTTTCAACGCCCTGGCCTCGTTCCTGTGCGACGAAGTTGACCCAAGCCCGAGTGCGTGTGTGAAAAGCGACGAGCGTTGTTGCGTGGACAGGACCACGACGAATGCCAGCAAACCCCTAGATGTCGCTCCCGCAACAACATCATCAACGCCTGTTCCCACTACTCGTCGCCAGCAACAGGCCAACACTAGGATCATAACCCCAATGACAACAACAACAGCAACAACAACAACAGAAGGTGTCACATCATCATCCTCAGCAGCTGCGACACCAACTAGTGCAAAGGTGACCACAAAGAGACCAGTACCGAGTACTACCACCCGTCGCAGTAGTTCTGCAGTGACTACCAAGAGGCCTGCAACTACCAAGAAGCCAGTGGTGGTGACCACTACCAGCAAGAGACCTTCAACCAGTGCCACAACTGCAGTTGTTACTACAGCAGCAAGGACCACTTCCACAACCACAGGTGAAAAAAAAACTACTAGTACCTTAAATGGTTGCTCTTCTGAATAAATGATTGGAATAGTGCATTTCTTGAAATACAAAGGCATAATTCACAGTTGAACCACTCCAAGTAAAATTTTCAGTGAATCCCAGGCCATTATCCTGAATGTCAATTCATTTCCAACCTCCCTGACTCAAAATGTTCAGACTCTGTCCTCCTTTTTAGATAAAAAAAATTTATATTGTACTTGTGCTATATTAAACCAGGTTAAAGTTTTAGAACACCTGATACAGACTATAGTCTGTTGTCTGAAAAGTCTGATATGCAATTTCAATTATTGAAACGTTAAAAATTTTACTTTTTACCATTAATTTTAAACCAACAGAAGTCTGTTATGCGGATTTAGACCATTTCACAGGAGGGAAACCTGCCTCCAGAGTCTGTCCATTGTGCAAAAAACTGTTGTGCAGGAGGTCTGTTTTGCAGAGGTCAACTATATTCTTATTTTAGTGCTTGATTCCATGCAGGAGATATTCAGTAACTTCCTGATAATCCTTTTCATATACAGTAAAATCTCGTTACAACAAATACCATTACAACAAATTTTTCATTACAACAAACTTTTTTTCAAGTCCTGGCAGAAAGCCTATAGCCCACATGTTAAAAAAATCTCGTTATAACAAACTCGGTGATTCCGTTATAGCAAACTTTTTTCAGGAAACTTTTTCATTTCTATGGAAAACTGTTTAAAAAATGTGTGGAAAGTTTTTCACTCATCATTGAACACTGAATAAAAGGAGGCTTTGATGAAGGAGAAGAAATGCTTCAAAATCTGGTTAAAACCTGAAAATTAAAATTTGAATTGCAGGGATTATGCTCAAAGTGATCTTCATTTGCAGAGAATTTTTGCTGTGAGAATAACTTCCTCAGATGAAATGTAAACAAAATTGTGGATTGATGATTTAAGCCTGTGAATTTGTGTTTCAATCCTTTAAACACAAATTCACAGGCTTAAATCATCAATCCACAATTTTGATTACATTTCATCCAAGGAAGTTATGCTCACAGCAAAAATTCTCTGCAAATGAAGATCACTTTGAGCATAACCCCTGCAATTCAAATTTTAATTCTCAGGTTTGAATCACAGCAAATCCACAGGTTGAAATCATCAATGCACACATTTTCAACATTGCATCTAGGGGGGTTATGATCAAATCAGAATTTTTTGGAAATGTGTCTGATTTGAGCATAGCCCTCTTAGAAACAATAAATGTTGGAAAAAATCTAAGGGGTTAGGCTCATTTTGAACCCATTTTTAACCCTGCTATGCACACTTTCTGAGAATTTGACTTTGACCAACATTTTTGAAAATGTTCGGGGGGGGGGAATCCAAATGGAACTTCACTTTAAAAGACAATTTTCATCTCAATATTTTTAGGAAATTTGAATTGCAGGCTTTAAAAATTATTCTGAAGCCGTTATGATCATAGCAAAAAATCTTTGAAAATGAGGGCTGCTTTGAGCATTACTTCTCAGATTTTAGGGTTATCTTTCATTATCCATTCTGTGGACTGACAAAGAAAATCCAATGAAATTTTGTAAAAAATATATGGAAGAATAATTGCCATGACTGCAGGGTTTCACAATGATTCCAAGCTAAGTGATTGATTATTTTTACTTGAATTTGGTCATTTTATGATTTTTCATTTTGTAGAAGAAAAATTGACACATTTTTGCCCAAAAAACAGGTAAGGCAAATATCCTGGCTGATAATTTTAAATGATTTTTTTCACCCTGTACATACAGCTGATTGTCATTACTGTAAAGATTCTCAGCAAAAGAAGCAAGTGATGGAAAAAATGCTCAAAAGTGGTAAAACATGCAATTTAAAATGACCATTAATTTGTGTGGCCAAATTATGTGATCACTAATTTTCACCAGAAATTTTTTCACACAATTCTAACCATACCACAGCATCAAGAACTGAAGAGTAATAAACTTCACTGTGTTAAAAAAAAAGATGCTGAAAAGTCACAGTCCCAGGATGGACTGGAACATCTTGAGCAATTAATGGTGCTTGAATTTTTAAAATATTTTTGGAGCGCACCTTCATTTTAATTCTTTGAAAGACAAAGCTGAAGAACTGCTCAAAGTGATCCCCATTTGCAGAGAATTTTTACTGTGAGAATAACTTCCTCAGATGAAATGTAAACAAAATTGTGAATTGATGATTTAAACCAGTGAATTTGTGTTTTAAACCTTTAAACACAAATTCACAGGCTTGAATCATCAATCCACAATTTTGTTTACATTTCATTCAAGGAAGTCATGCTCACAGCAAAAATTCTCTGCAAATGGAGATCACTTTGAGCATAACCCCTGCAATTCAAATTCTAATCCAATTGGATTAGAATCTGAATTCCAGGGGTTATGCTCAAAGTGAAATCCATTTTCAAGGATTTTTTTCTGTGAGCAAAAGTCACTGGAAACAAATATTTTTTAAACCTGCAATCTACCCCCTCTAGAAATTTAAATTAAAGCCTAATTTTAAAACTGTTTTTTTTTACCAGAACCTCTCAGGTGCAGTGTTTTAAAAAAGTTCCATCTGATGAAGAAAATAGTCCCCTGAAAGTGGCACAGGATTCAGCTAAATTTTTATGCAGTTTTGGGATTGCTGATTTTTAAAAATTTCTGTGTTAAATAAAATTCTTTTCTTCCCCATCAAATATTATTATTGTGTATGATTTTGTAATTTTTTATATTTTTTATAACAATAATAGAAATTTTCAAAAATATTCAAATTTTTCCAATGAAAAAAAACATTTGTTATGTGGAATTTGTTTCATTCTGCTGGGGTAAACATGGTGTTTGCCAAAAAAAAGTTTGTTATGTGGAAAGTTTGCTCTACAGGGGGTTTGTAGTGCAGGGTACCACTGTATGCAGATCTGAGCTTTAAAAAATTTTCCAGTCATTAATATTGAAAATCTCGTTACAACAAATTATTCGTTATAACAAACTTTTTCTGAGGTCCCCAGAAGTTTGTTGTAATGAGATTTTACTGTAATTACCACAAAAAGCAATTTTAATTTATTAACTTCCACACTAACCAGGAAATAATATTCCATGACAAAAACTTCATGAATCCAATTTTTTGAAGTCTCTGGAGTTTTCTATTGGCAGTGAATCAACAACAATTTTCACATATGAAAGCAATTGTTGCAGTTTGGAAAATTGTTGAAACTGCATCAGATGGTTGGCATATAAATTTGCTTCACAAGTACAGTTCTCAAGTGACATTAAAATGTATAGCGCATTTATTAGAAGCAATAACAGACAAATTGCTAGAAATGAAAACATCTTCTCTTGAATCCAAGTTCCTATAGTTTCCAGAACAATTTATTGCTTAATGTGATGGCAAAGAAATAGAACAATTCTCAAAGAGCATCATTGAAAATACAATGTATACAGAAAAAATCTGTGCCCATCAAGTCCAAGCACACCAATATGAAATGTGTGATGATAACAAAGGGAATAGAAAGAGAGCAGTAATTTTTCACAATAAAAAAAAGGTTTGTGAAGACTTTATTTAAATCAAATAACTATAATTTTTGAGGAGAAAAAAGATCTTAAATGGGGTTTTTTCAGTGAAATCTCTTCACAACAATCAAATGGCAACTTGATTAGGAATTGCTTGATGAAATCAAAAACTCTCTTTGGGACATATTCTCTTGTAAAAGGTTGTAAATTTCTTTTAGATCATTTATTAAGGGTTATTTTATTATGAAAGGCGTTTTTGTGAATTATTTATAAAAAAAATCAAGTACAGTGCTTCATTTCAGGGATTTAAAAAAATATATAAAATGTTATTTTGCCAATAATTGCAGAACCATCCACAACAACAACAACAACAACAACCACAACAAGGATACCCACATCAGCAGCTTCAACAGCAGTCGCCTCGGGCACAGTAGCCCCTTTGCCAGAGAAGCAGCCAGAAGGCGTCCCTGCTGATGCTGCTGGCGGCGTCATCATCACCAGGGGCGCCATCACTAGCACCGGCAGTCTGACCGAGTGCCCTGGGGTGTGCGTGGCGCCGAGCATTTCCGAGTACTGCGACGCAGTACTTACTCGCCCCGGACTGTGCAAGGGCTCTTTGCGTTGCTGCGTCACACGCGAAGTGTTTGAGGGGCAAGATGCCCCCAAGGACTTGGTGCTGAATGAGAGTCCAGCAGTCCAACAACAACAACAACAACAGGGGTCAGCAGCAGGGAATAATAAGAAGCCTGCTGCTGCTGGGACACAAGCGACATCTAGTCAAAGCTGGTATGACGTGCTAATAAGAGAGAGTTTATGTTCAATTCTTCCACCTTATATTTTTTGACTTATTGGGGAGGGTTTTGGTAGGAAGGATTTCTCTCAGTTTATTTTTTAAAAAAATCCCTGTTTTTACTGTTGAATATTGTGTGTACCACACATTCCCTCTGCTGCTGAACAATTATAAGTCATCATCCAGTTTCTTTACTCAAATACCATTCTCACCTTCTTTCCCTAAATTGAGAAAGAACAAATAAGGGGGGTGCATCATGTATGTATGATGCAGATTTTTCAACAAAAAAGGTTACAGCATTATGGTTGAATCAAACAGTAAATTGTGGACCAACTTCAACAGAAAAGCTCATTTCAATGAAAACAATTCAAAATCAGTTTAATTCAGGATCAGTTTATATGTTTAAATTCAAATTTGGGTGGCCACTTTACCAGAGTAACCTTCTTTAAATGTAGCTTTTTGGATGATATATTGATAACAATAACATATGATACATATGACATTGATAACGTATGAGCAATGCTCTCATTTCACCAAAGCTATTTCTGCTGATGCAGCAGCAGCATCAAATTAAAAAAAAATGGGTTGACTGAATCAGACAATCTCATTTGCATGCTTGCTGCTCTGTAACTTCAGTCACTTCACCAACTTCTGTTGTGTTGTGCATCTGATTTGGGATCAAGCCCCAATATGATTTTGTTTTATTTTTGGTTATGGTGGGATGATACCCCTAACTTTAAATGAAGAGATACCTTATCCAAACTGATATTTTTGTTTGTGTCTTCTTGGTGAACTAACTTGCAGGTCCCAGCAGAAGGTTCCCAGCCAACAGCAGCAGCAGAGTAATTCAAATCCTCAGCCCACAGAGTACCATGGACCCATTCCAGCTCACAAACGCTGCAAGGGGACATGTGTTGGTTCCTTCTTCACATTCCTGTGTGACAGGATTGACACGGATTCCATTTGTCCATCTGGTGGTCAGTGTTGTTTGACAAGGGAAGACATTGTGAAGCAGGGCCCAGAGTCTGGACCACCATCATCACCGCAACAGAGTCCTGGTGGGCAGGGTAAAGTGAAGCCTGGCTGTCCTGGCAGGTCAGTTATCATGCTCATCATTTGACCCAATAATAAGTCACTCATGTCAAGGATTCAAATTTCAACAGTTCTATCATCAGAACAAATAATAAGATAAAATTCAAGTGGAGTTGGGTCTTTTGGTGGCTAACAACTATATAAACTGTACTATGATAATAAGCATTTGAGCAAAGAAACTTGATGTCTCCATGTTTCTTGCAGCAGATTATTGCAAACATCAATTAGGGATAAAACCTCAAAGTTTCTAATGGCACAGTGCAACTCTTCAGATCCATTTTACAAACAATCACCAGGCTTATCATTATCAACACACTACACTCGAATAAGTTGTGTTCATAAAGAGTTTACTTTTAGCATGAGAGCATTCAAATATGGTGGATGATGTTTCCCCACTCATTCTGGCTTCAATTGTTTCAAATTTCACAGGTTTCAAATTTCAATGAACACTAACAAGTTAACCACGGATCCTAATGCTATGTTAGACAAAACGTTTCATGAAGTTGTCATGGGGTTTTAAAAAAAAATTGCATTCCAAAATAATCCACCCAGCAAAAGAGTAATTTTTAGAAATGTTCTCTATTATTGTTCAACATGTTAAAATTAAAAATACATTTACTGTTGCAGTACAGTTGTTACCTTGCAATTCAAACTCCTGCAATTTGACAGTCAAATTTTCTGGGAGGTTGACTCTCAATTAATGTGTCCTTGGCTGCAAATTTTGACCTGTGGAGAGACATGAAACTTCAAAGCCATGTAGAAAACAGGTCATTTGACGTTGTCTTGCAATTTGACCCTCTAGTACAGCAAAGGATTAGGGTCAAATTGCATTTTCATCTATAGCTGAAATAATGAAGGCTCCTGGAATAATTTACAGTACTGTATTTGTCGGGCCGATTTAACGACAAAGAAGTAAAAATGAATTGAACACAGTACTCAGCCTTTAAAGGCCGGATCCTCCTTATAGTGGAGTCCCTTAAAGCAGCACACCTTTAATCACCCACAGGGAACCGCAGAAGGACAATAAGACTTGCACACACTTAAGAGAATGGCAATCAGCCAGAACAGATCTCTCAATCTGATAACTGCCGTCAGGCAACACCAATGATCTATTAGTGAATCCTTTGGTAACTTCTCTGGGGCTTCCGCCGCCCCGTGATCATTATCTCCTCCTGACCCGGTTTACCGCAATGTGGCAAACCGGGTCCCTATCCGCTTCCAGGTCCCTGGGCTTTGTGTTGCTGTGCGGCATGTCAGAGCAAGGATGCTGCGCTTGGGTCATGCCGCATGGACACGACCCCACAGTATTATCAAATCTTAATGTGGGGTCGAGAGAGTGCGTGGCAAGACCCGAGTGTAGCATCCTTGCTCGGGCTCCACATACGCAAAGTTACGACGCGCCACCGGAACCAAGGTCCTGAATGGCACCCGGTTACCGCTTGGCGGAACTGGGTGAGAAGATTATAATCAAATTATGAATATCGAATTCCGTGAGGCTCCGAAGCCGTCACTCTGCGAGTTGCCTTGCTTCTGTACGGTTGCTAGCAAATCTACTGATCTCTTTCCTGAGGACTTGTCTTGTGTGTGACTTGTGTGTATGATTGAGATATCTTAAGGACTTTGATCTTGGTTCTGTTTCTGGGCGTTGTGTGTGCACGAGAATAAAAGAGTGCTTAAGGGACTCCCTTCTGGAGGATCTGGCCTCCTAAAGGCTGCGAATGGTTTACACTTATTTCGATAAGGTAGTTGTCATTTCCATCCAACACTTAACTTTGTGTGCATTCACAGTGATGCGATTTTTTTAGATTTCAAAAATCAACAAGGAATAATACAAATGCATTAATTAATCTGTAAGCATCAAAAATAAAAAATCAAACATATATGGCCATCAATTTAGGCTTTTTGGAGGAAAAAATTTAAAATACCCGTGATTAAAAAATTGATCATCATAAGAATAATTAAAATGCGCCTATATTTAATTGATCTGTCACCATAAATAAAAGTGCATAATATACAGTACGGTATACTGTAAGTAAGACTGTCTACTTTAGGATTTTTGAGAAACCAAACAATTTGAATCCTCATCATGCAGGTGCCTTTCTGTCCTGATGTCCACCTTCTGCACGTCACCATCGAGGCTGGTACCAGAGACCACCTGCGAGGATGGAACCGTTTGCTGCGTGGAAAGACCAAACACTAGTTCTGGGGCGGCCAACGACCGCCGCCCTCCGCCGCCACAAAGAAAAAAGCCGCTGCCTGTGCAAAGAAGACCGCCTCCAGCGTCTTCCTCATCAACATCTTCTGCCTTGGGGTCTTTGGGCACTTTGTTGGGGCTTCTGGCTCCTGACATGGCGTCTCCACTGACAGGTGGGATGAATAAGCCACAGGCTCCACCAAGGAGACCACCTCCTACCACCACTAGTACCACTACCAGCACTACTACTACTACCACTACTACCACAACCACTACTGAGCCACCGGATCCGAGACAAGACTGCACTGGAACTTGCATTGCACCATTCTTGTCCTTCACCTGCTTTGGTCAGTTTTTTTTTTAAATCTTCCATTGTTTCCAAAATCTCTAATGCTAAACCTGTGCAAGGAATTCCTGAAAAAAAGCCACTCAGTGAGGAATTTGCTTTTATTTTTAAGGCAAATTTTTCTACAGGATTATAAAAAAAATATTGGACTTTTTCCAGACTTAGGGCCTTCGTGCAAAAATCAAATTTTTTCAACTGTCATTTGTTAGTGCTCATTTTTGAAAAATATCCCAACTTTGCCAAACCAAGGTTAAACCCACCTTATTTTAGGAACTTTGAAATGAATTTGAATTAATGTATTTACCACATGCTCTCAATTAAGAAGTGCACCTGGATTTTTCAGCTTAAATTTTATTTAATACTTAATCGATGAGTAAGACTCATATCCCATTCTAAGTAACTGCTGAAAACATGCAAAATTTTGAAAATGAAAAACTTCAGAACATGAATTTAGTTTTGAATTTGAATCTTCAATCGAATTGAAACTAATATATAATTGTTTCCATTTTTGGGTGAAAAAAACTTTTAATAATAGAATCAATCATGCCTAAAGTTAAATTATGAGAAAATTATATCTGCCTATGATGATAACAAGCACCCTCCTTATTTCTCACAATTCTGAAAAAAATGTGAAAGTGGTACTTGAGTGAATATGGTGCTTTCATTGAAAAATTCCATTAAATTAAGATTATTTGTGAAATTAGTCCAAATGTTGTTCCATCTTCATATTATACTAGAGATTTCCATGTTCAGAAGTAAAAGTCTTTTAATGAAGCACCATTTTGTGTGATGTACATGCAGACACCTTAAAACTTTTAGAACTTTTGTTCTTCTGATTAAAGTTATTCTCTTCTGAACATCAGACAAACTCTTGATATTTCCTGACTCTGGCTAAATTTATGAGGAGTCATTTATTCATTAAAATATGTCAAATCCTTCATCCAGAGGGTTTAGATAAATTTCAAAACTGGGTTTCTGCAGCAGAAATGGTGTCAAGTCTAAGTATGTATACGATAATTGGGCAATAATAAAAAAAATGATCGAAAATAAAAGTTTTCTTTCTGCAATTTTCATGAGGTCAAATGTAAGAGTTTCCAGCATTTGGAACTTGTGGCAGAGTTGTGGGACTGACAAACAAAAGTTGCAGCTCAATTAATTTGCTAAAAAAAAAGATAAAATCTTGGAGTGTGTCACAAAATTGCCTCTAAAAACATGCATGCATGATGCTCTGTAAAGTATATGCAAGGAATTATTATTTCCTATTTGGAAAATATTGCAGGAAATGCCGAGATGACGGACTTGTTCAAGTGCGAACGCAAATCCGTGTCTTGCTGTGCGCCAAAATCCGCCATTCAGCGCCTTCTGCAAGAAGAACAGGCCCAGAAACACAAAACCTCGGCCCCGGTTCTGCCTCCTGGCCTCATTCCTCAAAAACAGCATTTACTTCAACAGCAGCAACACCAGCAGGTGTTGTCGGGCCAGCAACTGGGCCCGCAGCAGTTTGTGATCAACCAACCTGGCCTGCTGGACAATCAGGATCACTTATTGCAGCAGCAGCAGCAGCCAGGACACTTCTTGCCACCGCCAATTATCGGCAGTGGGCCAGATTTCAATAACGAGCAAGGCAGACGACCTTTAAGGCCTCTGCCGCCAAATTTGCAGAACCTGCCGCCACATTATTGGCAGAATCGGGTGCCGCCTAATGCGTTTATGCTGAGGAATGAGTCATTTTTCCCTCCGCGTGAGTCATCTCTTTTCCTGTACTTGTGTTCTGGCACAATGAAATCTCATCAAGCAGTAGAGCATCCGCAGTGCAGACAAAAAAAAAACAAAAAAATATGAAAAAACACAATTTCAGAAGTGGGATTTGAACCCATGCCTGCAGAACCAGACTGTGACCTGAACGCAGCGCCTTAGACTGCTCGGCCATCCTGACAACTTAATGTTAATTGATGCGTTTTCAAGTAGGCAAATTAATTCAAGGTGCAAAAGGCCACAGACACACGTTACACGACGTCCTTATTATTCCCCCCCCCAGACCCCTGTAGGATCCTACTGGTCGTTCCTCCCACTGCGGATGTTAAAACAAACTCCCATCAGGGACCTGATGAGAAAGTCATTGTATCAATTTTTATGGGCCTTTTAACCCACTTTAGAATTAACTTTGGTGGAAAAATGAATAATGAATACTGTAATGTGTATATAACACGGATAATTCAAGATTGGTACCTGATCACACAATAATTGCATTACAGTGTATTTTCTCAGGGAATTATTTTTCACTGGGGAAGTTGATTTCATGAATTAAAAAAAATATCCCTTTTATGTACTTGTATATTAATGCATTTATGTTTGATTGTTGTGAATCATGAGCAGCTCAGGCATTTGGAGGACCTGCTGGGACAGGTGCAGCAGGTGGACTGGGAAACCAGGGCGGCGGTCTGCAGCGGCGTCCCGGGCCGTCCGCCTCAGTGCCGCCACCCGGAGTGCCTCATCTGCGCCCGCAGCCGCCACTGTCTGCATTGCCGCCATCGCTGTTGCCCCCACCCAGTGGTGCCCCACCGCGCCATCACCTCCATCAGCAGCACCCCGCAGCACCACCACCACCACTGATGCCATCCTCAGGAGGGCTTCCTCAACAACACCAAAGCAACAATAATAACAAAAGGGCATTCCAGCAACAGACCGCCCTTTGTTGCCGTCTTCGTCATCGCCTGGGATGATGTTGGGGGTGCCGTTGACTTCTGCTGGAGGAGGATTGCCGCCACCGCCGCCACTAGCAGCAGCAGCAGCAGCAGCAGGAGGGGCGCCTTCGTCGTCGTCGTCGTCATCGTCGTCGTCTCTGGCTGTCGGGTTCCTGAATCCTTCGTCTTCTTCGGGAAAGAGCAAATATATTTGCGGGTTGAAGGGCAATAGCAATAATAATAACAATAATAATAATCGGAGAGTCAGTCGAGTCGTGGGCGGCGATGACGCCGCCGAGAACGAGTGGTGCTGGCAAGTGGCGCTCATCAACTCCCTGAACCAGTACTTGTGTGGTGGCGCCCTGGTCGGGAAGCAGTGGGTCTTGACAGCTGCTCATTGTGTCACCAAGTGAGTGTGTGTCTCTGTCTTTTTTTTTTTAATTACATTTTTATTTTCTTATTTAGTTTTTAAAAACTAATTTGAAATCTGTGAAATCAAATAATCCTTGATTTTAGTTCTTCTTTCAAACACAGGTGGTATCCCCACATTTTGACCTTAATCCATTGCCAAACGAAGGTAAAATTGCAAAGTATAGTTAAATTTGCAAGATATTGTGTGAAATTAAGAAACTGTAGAGAGAAAAAAACACTAGAAAATTGGCTGAAGAAGGTTAAATTGTGAGTCAACCTCACAGCAAATTTGGCTGTCAAATTGCAAGGTACCATGTGTACAGCAGTTTAACTTTTATAAATCTTCAAGCTTCACTCCCCATGTCAAATTTTGGTTTCTTTTGAAGTAATGCAATAAAAACCTCCTTAAATCAATGGCTTTTCACCTCAAGCCTACATCACTTGAATTTTTTTTTGAAGCCATTTGGCAATTATTTTATTGACACATGAAGGAAAGAGAAAAGCAATGATAAATGTGACATCACGCGTTTTGAAAGGAAATGAAAGACTGATTGGGCAAATAAACCCTTGCTGCCTCTTGTCAATTTTAGCTTCCTTTATCAACTCTCTCAAGAAGCAATTAAAGGCCCAAAATATAAATAATTACCATTTCCTGTCATTATCTTTCTTAATATACCCCAACAAAATGCTTGTGTCCCTAAATTGAAACCACCCCAACTTGAATTGGATTTTAGTGTCTTTCAAGTTTAATGTGAAACAACGAGGTTCAATTGTATTTTAAATTTTTAACCCATATGATGATCCCTGAGCTTGAATATATGTCACAATGAATAGTTGTAAAATTTATAAGAGGAATTTTTTCATTTTTTTAGGAGTGGCAGATAATTTGCAAAATGACTCAAGTATTCTGTTTATACATCTCCTGAGACACATGAGATTTTTATTACAGTAGAATATCTTTATTATAACTAATTCATGCTTGAAACGAATGTGTTTTTTGTTGTTGAAAATATATAAGCCTCCATGGAATGGTGTTATTTAAATTTTAACGAGTTTGTTTGTTTATGAAGAAGCTTTCTTGATGACATGCAAAAACGCTTCGTTATCATTGTAACGCCATTTATATACTGATGGAAGCAATTTATATGCATAACATTTCTAATGGATGATGATGATGATACCTCTTTGTGTGTGTGTGTTGTGCCAGTTGCGTACAGTATAGAGTAGAGTAGAGTACAGTATTTGGGAATAATAATGGGAATTCAATGGGAAATTGACAGCATCGTGCGGAGTGGGGACGCCATCTATGTGCGAGTGGGCGACAACGACTTGACGAGCAAGTACGGGAGTTCCGGGGCGCAGACCCTCCGCGTGGCCACCACCTACATCCACCACAACCACAACTCGGCCACGCTGGACAACGACGTGGCCCTGCTCAAGCTGCACGGCGAGGCCAGTCTGGGGCCCGGGGTGTGCCTGGTGTGTCTGCCGGCCCGCGGGGTGGAGCGACAAGCCGGGACACGGTGCACAGTCACGGGCTACGGCTACATGGGCGAGAGTATGTATATATATATATATATATATATATGCAGTACAGTGTATACAAAATGCAGTGAGAATAGTCCCACTTGCAAGGGACATTTATTTTTCAATAAAAAAAATCATAAAAAAAGACCCAACATATATAGGGACACTGACTTAATTGACATATATGAGGACATTGCATGATAAAATTGCCCATAAGTTTAAGGAAAATTGACTTTTATTATGCTTAATTGCACGAAACAAATACAGTATTTCCAACCCTGAGATCTATGCTAGAAAAATTCTTTGGTACTTTTCCCATCACTTTCCCATCCATTCAGCTGATTTTAAAAAAAAGTACCCTCTGTATTTACTCAAGTACCAGCACGCGCACCCTTTTTCTCAAATTTCAGAAGAAAAAAAAAGGGGTGTGTCGTAAGCCTGTACAAATTTTTCAAGAAGTTTTAGGAATAATTTATGTGTGCGTTTCTTAATTACAATGGAGAAATTTGGGAAAAAAATGTAACAAGAAAACTGTTTTGTAGTGAAAAAGTTGTATGTGCTTATTCTTACGTCATTTTCATCAGCTGGTCCGATTCCGTTGAGGATCCGAGAGGCAGAGTTGCCAGTGGTGAGCGACAGCGAGTGCATCCGAAAAATCAACGCCGTCACCGAGAAAATTTTCATTTTGCCGGCGTCTTCGTTTTGTGCCGGAGGGGAAATGGGACAAGACGCTTGTCAGGTTCGTTCATTCAATTTGTTTTGCATTCCTTGTTGTGAAATATTTACCTCAACTTGCGGACAATTCGATTTGTGCGCAGCACTTGAATCTAAAAAATAAAATAAAATAAAATCTGCCCTGGCATCTGAACAATGTCTTATTTGAGGCACAAACAGTTGACCAACATTTCTTCACAAACTGAAACAAAAATGAATATTTTTTCAACAAATTGTTATTTTTTACATTCCTAAATATAGAAGATCCATTTTATTATAGATTTGTACAATTCATTATTCAAAAATAGGCTCATTTTGGGCTGTTTTCTTTGTCTGTGGAAATATTCATATATGAAGACTTGCGCTAATTGATCTTTTTTTTTAAATCTTTTTCACGCTAAAAGATCAAAATGTTCCTTTTTTATTCTGCGCATTCTTGAAGTTGAGAAGAAATATTTGATTTAATTCTGGGTACTTTTCTTCATTTTCCATAAACAAAAATAACAAGCAATTATCAAATTTCCATTGAAGTTCAAGGGAAAACGTGATCAATATATCAACGTTTCCAATAATAGACTGTATTATTGGCAATGCAGATGGTTCCTTGCAATTTGACCTCCTGCAATTCAACCATCCTGAAATTCAATGGTCATATTTCCAGGGAGATTGACTTGCAATTTGACCCTTGCCCTCCTTTTTCCATTATTTCTGTGTTCTTGTACCTTTATCTTCAAATTTCATCAAGAGTGTTTTGCAATTTGACCCTACCCAAGTGGAGAAATTGGTGCACACTGGGGATATGTTTGTAATTCTACACCGTGACCCTGCTGTGCACCTGTAGTTTACCAACGTTCTTCTGTTGCACATGCATATCCCTAATGTGCACCAATTGTGCGTTCACACCAGGATTACTCAGGGTTGCATTTGTAAACAAATAAGTTATACCAAGGTTACAGTGGGTGCATTTGCGTGATACTCCTGTTATGTCACATTTGTGGACCAAATGTAGCCCAGGAATGGTAGCAAAATTTTGTCTACAGAGGTGCATGCATGTATCCCCAGAATAGCCCATATGCACCAGCTGTGACCCTCGTGTGCACCTACTGTGGGGTCACAGCAAAAATAGCTCCCCACTTGGGATATAGTTTGGCAATGGATTATAGGATCAAATTGTAAGGTGCCACCTGTACTGTAATTCATTGCGTAATAATGCATCTGTTATTAATCCTCTCTCTCTCTGCCAAAAACTCGAATGCCGAATACATTTAATTCGCAATAATTTGCAGGGTGATGGAGGAGGACCGTTGGTGTGCCAAGTCGACGGTTTCTACGAGTTGGCAGGACTGGTGTCCTGGGGTTTTGGCTGTGGTCGTGAAGACGTGCCCGGGGTCTACGTCAAGGTCTCTTCCTTCATCGGCTGGATCAATCAAATCATTTCAGTCAACAATATCTGAAAATCTCCGCCATCAATCAATAATGTTTGATATCACATACGTCCGAGACAAAAAAAAAACGATCATCAATGCTCAATAAGACATTCGTTTGATGCTGGTGGACAAAGTTGATTTTATTTTTGCGTTAATGTTGTTTGTTATCGTTGTTGTTGTTGTTTTGTTTCATGTTTTCGCTTATATTTGTGCCTTGGCATTTTTCCATAATAATGAGAAAAGGAATCGCGTAGTAGTTAAAATTTTCCTCATCATCAGAAAATGAGCGATTTGTTGTTTTGTTTTTGGCGCGTGCTGATTTTATGCGAGAGGAAAAGAAAGGGTCTTATTTAATATTGCGAGTGCGGTTATGATTGAGTAATTGCCAGCAAACGTTCCTTCTGTTTTTGTTGTTCCTCAATTTATGGCCTTTTCCAAATTTGTTTCTTGCCATTTTGATGCGTGTGCACACTCTGAAAAGTGTATGCGTGAGTACCAAAGATTTGTGCGCAGGAAAATGAAGAAGTTGCTGAGGAAAAATCACGACTTTGCTCAGCCATATATGTATGTAAAAAAAAAAAAAAGTAGAGAGAAAGATGATGAGAAATATGTTTTGTGGCTATTGAACATCAAAATAATTTTTTTTTGGATATGGAAGAATAAATTGATTATGATATTACTTGTATTGTTCTCAACCAGTTTCCCATGATATATATTTCAAAAATCAAGAATTGATTGAAAAAGAAAATGAAATTTGTACTGTTGAAGATTAAATATCATCTCAAATTCAGTAAATCCAAATTAGATGCGAATTCTGGAATTGGTTTTTGCTGGAAATCCAGCTGAGACTCTTGTGAAATGTTTCAATTCCGCTTTATAAAAAAATTTCCGAAGGTTTTTGTCAGTTACCAAATATTGCCCAATTGTGTTATTGATGAAAAACCCCCTCATGCAAGAAGTACAAGGTGCTGTGCGTTAGAAACAGGGAAGCAGAATATATGAAATACGTTGACTCATTTCATTTTCTTGCCAACTGCAAATCTATAAGGAGGTTATTTTGGGTATAAATGTCTGTGAAATTCGCTGCTTGACAATCATGCTGAATATATAAAAAGATTGGACTTGTGAGTCTTGCTTGGTTCTCCTTTATTTATTATGATGGAAGAATAAATTGCACAACTCATTTTTGAATTCCAGCATTAGCAGTTTAGTAACCGCCACCGTCAGCCATACTGTCCCGCGTGACAGGAAGCCATCGCGTATTAGATCATTTTGTACCTTTGTTTTGTATCTTAATCAGGGCTCACTCGACGTGCGCCGCGCGCAACCATTGACTAAGAGGTCCCACGCAGCCTCATTCAATCATCGACCTCAGTTTGGATAAGACCATTGTGTATATAGTGAATCCGCTACCCTGACTGAATTACAACTGTGTTAGAAACGTCTAAGTAGTGTGCTTCCTTTCCTGCAGGATTATCAGATCTCTGGGGTGACTAGATAGTGAGTCAACTAAAGTCTTACTGTTTTATACATGGATCACAATGGTATATGCAGATTCTTTGCAGCATTTTAAGGTCTAAAGTTATAAGGGTTAAAATACATTGTATATTTTGAACATGGAGTTAAAGCTGTTGCCAATTAAGCAACAAACTACTATTGACAGAGCAAAAAATGAATCATTTAATAATCTTCATTTCCATGCTTCATATACAGTACTTTACTGTACACTTAATCACAACAGATCATAATCAAAAGTGCCTATACTACAGCTTAAAAGGCTTCAATTGTCAGACCCATGATAGAAGCAATTACTGTAGAGTATTATGGGTTTCTGTAGTACCTTTCCGGTATCTGTAGCAAAGCTCCGCCCATTTGACCAGACTTGCACCTCAATTGTTGACTATGTTCAGAGGAACAAGAAGCTGTCATACAGATGGTTCACCAGTACACTGTTAGTTTCATGGTCTTGTGTAAGCGATTTGATGTTGGCGGATGAAAGAAACTTGTCGGAGGAAAGATTTGTTTCGGTGCAAATTGCCTTCTAAGTTACATTCCTGAATGTTGCTGCTATGAACAATGATGTGATTTGTGTTCCAGGTATCCGTGGCCAGTTCTGCAAGTTTATGAAATTCTCTTTCACTGAAGTGTTCGATTAGTGCGTAGTGTTCGTCTTTGAGAATTCTGCACTCATCGCATCCTGTGTATTGTATTCGTTGGTCAAGATCCAATTGCTGTGCCGTTTCATAGCGATGCCCGATGAAGGAGTCGAGCTTCTCAGTAAACTCAAGGCTGAGTTCAATGAGATCGACTCACGACAAGTGGGATGGTCGACTCTCTTTCACAGTATCGGATTGGAGTCCAGGAACCCCGATCTGACTTTGAAAGAATCATTGAAGCCTTGCAATCAACCTCTGAATCGTTATCTCAATGTCAGCCCATATGATCACAGTAGGGTGGTTTTGTTGAACTCGGCTGTGGATTACATAAACGCCAACCTCGTTCGTGTCCCGATTGCAAATCGTCGGTAAGCCTGGATTATTCTGTCGTCCGAAATTCGGCATCATGTGAAGTGCTTTTTAGGTACGTGCTCAGCCAGGGGCCATTGGAGCACACTTGTGGCCACTTTTGGCTCATGATATGGCAGCAAGAAACTCGCGGAGTCATTATGTTGAACCGCATCGTGGAGAACAATGTCTCGAAATGTCATCAGTATTGGCCCGAACATGCGGACGAAACAGTGTCCTACGATGATGTTGGGTTGAAAGTCACTCTTGTACGCGAACAAAGCAAAGATTTCTACATAATTCGCACAATGCGTGTGACAAATGTCGCGACAGGAGATTCCCGCGACGTCCTACAGTTTCATTACATTACATGGCCTGATTTTCAAGTTCCCTCATCCCCGGCCGCATTTCTCAGCTTCCTGGCTGCAGTTAGATCTTCTGGGTCGTGAGTTCATCGGCAGTATTTTTAGTTCATTATATAATTTTATACATTGCCAGTTTTGAGGTTAACCTTAATCATCCTAGGTTGGAGAACGACGTTGGACCAGCAGTTATCCATTGTAGCGCAGGAATCGGGAGGTCGGGAACATTTTGTCTAATAGACAGTTGCCTTTTGCTCGTTGAGAAGAAGATTGTCAAGGAATTGGACATCTGTAGCATTCTTTTGGAATTGCGAACGTATCGGATGGGTCTGATTCAGACCGCTGATCAACTCCGGTTCTGCTTCCTCGGCATCATCCATGGTACACAGAAGATCCTTCGCGAGGAGTTCATTTCAGAAGCGAAGGAAACGATCAACCAGTGCGTAAAATGTGTGATGGTTTTGTAGCGCTTGATTCATCCCAATGACTTTTTGTGAGCAACGATGTTAGCTTCAGTGGAACACCAGTTTATTCATAGTTAGAGTCAAGTTGGACTTTAATTGATACATGAGATCAGTTTTGTTGTGGCAAACCTCGCTGATCGTTGGTTTCTCCTAATTTGGATGTTGAGTAGGCGTGACCTCGTGTCGAAGATCTTGTTGATAATGTTGTAATTCTTACTTTTGTCAAATTTTTTTTTCAGGCCAACCGCGACTACGTCGGGTTCCGAGGACGAAGAGGAAGAAGATGGCGAACCACCGACGCCGCCAGTACGAAGTGATTCGCTTACCAAGTCCACTGACAGCAAGAGCAGTTGTCCACCTACAATCGACGAGGTGTCGTCATGCGACGGTTCCGGTGACGAGCTTTCGTCGGCTGAGAAAGAGACGGAGGTTCGTCGACGAATGATTCGTCGCGAAAGGGACGAACGAAAGCGGGCCATGGAAGAGCTCGTGTCGTCCATCAAGGCGAAACAGCGTGCGTCGGAAGACCGGCGACGCCGCTACACCGCCATCAAGCAACTCGTGCCCAAAGTCGTCGCTGGTGCTGTGATTGTGGCCATAGTGTCCGCCGTTTCTTACAAGTACTTTACCTAACGCATCAATCCCCAGAATAGTCATAGTGTCATTTTTTAAGCGAAGAAATTGTGTCGTTCTGTTTTTCTCGCGATAGTAGTACGAAGGAGACCTTGCATGAAGACGGAGCCAAACGCTCAACCAAGAGCGTTGCTTTGAGAAGGAGAAATTAATCATTCCGACCGGATTCGAGATTCCTTTTTATACATGTTGCATTAATGAAGATGGTTTGAAATTTTACGTGCGTTGCCATAACTGGAGCCCGTAACAATTCTTTTCTGCGCTTCGATTCATTTTTCTTGTTGTCGATGCGATGAATCGTGATGTTTTTACTACTCAGAAGACGTTGTGTATAGTGGAAAGCGTGAGAGGAAAGTTGGAGGTTCCCGGGTTGACCCTTGGACATCCCATTTTCTTTTATTTTCTTCTGTGTTTTTTTCACAAAATTGTTGCGAAGCGACTCAATGTTTTGTTAATGCCTCTCGTACCCCGTTGTTTCTGCAAGACGATGTGATAGATTAAAACGTTTTGGCTAATTGAGAAGTACGAGGTTTATGAATTGGTTGTTTCATTTTGGTCCTTGGCTGCGAGTGTTGTGTCAACTTGCCCACATTTTCAGAGTTTGAACATGTGAGGGGGGTTGGTTTCCAAGTTTCATCAGTCTTCCCTTGCTGTGAGTGTTGGTTAGATGAGCGTGGTTTTTTTTTTTCGTGAATGTCATAGTTCACTTTGGGTTTAATCGTGAAAAGGAAGATTTTCAAATTTAATTGTACAATGCTGTACTGTATTTGCTTGCCCTTGAATAAGACCCATACAGGGTTCTTTAGTCTAAAATTTTACTGAAGTCGTGTTCCCGAGGAAGGTGTGCACACCATTTTTAGTGTCTCTAAAACTGTAATATTTGATGAAGAATAACTACTGAATTTGAATTGCAGTCATAATAGAATCAAATTGAACCTGAATTCAACCTCTTTGCCCGTTGCAAGAAGTGGTTCTGTTGAGCATTATTATTATGTTATTCTCATTTCTGACCAATTTCAAGGTACTGAGAGAACTTACGAGACCATTCTTTTGCGCGTATTATGCAACCATTTTTGATTTCCATGAAGAATTTGTATCGGCTTTTCATTTCGTTTCAGACGTGGTTATTTGTTTCATTATTGCCCTGAGGGCTAGTGTAGTGCAAGTGGCGGAATGGCGACGATGGAACGAGTGTACGACCCCAAACGCATTCCATGGGCGTCCCCGGTGGTGCGTGACCTCGAGAAAGACGGCGCCGCGTTGTTGGCGGACGTGACCAAGACGTTTCCGTTCCGCGAAATGGCAGCTGGGCCGTCGAGGTCCAAGACCGAGATCGAGACAGTGAGTCGGTTTATCGACGTGCCGGAAGAACGAGTGCAAGCCGTGTTGAATCTGTGTTCCGCTGCGGCATTGGGCGGATGTTATGGACTGTATCCGGAAACCGAGGGCCTGTTGTACAAGACGATCGAGGCCAATGAAGGAGACGAATTGGCCGTCCTGAAGGAGCGCCGAGTGCAGGCCAAGTCCAAGAAGGAACCCGACAATTTCCATGTGTCGCGAACACGTCGCTACAGGTTTGGGTTCCCTTGTGTTTATGTTGTGTGCAGATTTTTTTACGCAAGTACAGTGGATGGTGAAACCTCAAACACGCGAACCTCTCGAAGTCAAATGCAGTAGCTCCTTATACCGATTTTTTATTTTTTTTTTCGAAGACCCGGTCTGAATTCATTGAGAAACAGATCATTAAAAATCTTCAAAACTCGAGAGATTTCCCCCTCAAATTTTCTGGGTAAGAAGTGTAACTTGATGTGTTTTGAATGGAAATGAAATACTGATTCGGTAAATGAACCCTTGCCTCGAAGATCAGCCTTCGTTCAAGTCATTCAAAAAGCAATTTAAAGACTAAAATGTTGCCGATTAAAATTTATTTCAATTAATGTTCCTTTCATCCGACAAAAATGCTTGTTTCCGTAACTGGAATCTTCCCTAAATCAAATTTTTCCGCTGATTCCTCGAAGGTTGACGTGGAAGAGATTCGAATGTGTCCTGCAAATGAGTTGACGCGTTTTTCTTTTGTGTGAAATTTTGTCATTTTTTCACTCGCAGGAAGCATGAGGTGCACGAGGTTGCGGACATGAAAAGCACGCATGTCATGAGCCAAATGAAGAAGACCATCAGTAAAGCTGCGACTGTTTCCGACGCCGACATGGACGAAGGGCTCGTGTTGTACGTCAAGGTGTACGACGTGGCCAAGCCGCAGTTGTCCGAGTGCAAACTTCTCTTTCGGAAGCAGCAGTGAGCCATTTATGTGTTTGATGACGAATTCGAGGGAAATCTCTGTGGGGAAATGTTTAAGAATTGTGGCCTACGCGCAGAAGGAAAAACAAATTACCTATTTAAAGCTGTGTTCGCGATAGATTTTGAATTATTTTTGATTATATCGAATATTGTGGCGCACACGCGTTGTGTATAATGTTGTGGAGTAGAGCACTGTACACCTCATTTCCTGTTTTTCAAAAAATCAGGCTGGATCAGTGTCGACAAGAGCTGGTTCTTCTGGGAAGTCAGACACTGTCGGAGCTGCACCAGGCCATCAAGTGTCGACGGAAAGAGATTGTCAACCACGACTACTCTGTGAACCCTAGGGAATTCAATGCCAAGACACATGCAGATTTGTTGGCGAACCACAATAAGGACGCCGTTTTATTCATATACGACACACTGTTTGCATCAACGAATGAGGCGAAGGAAGATTACGTGGATGCTGTGCGTGGCTGGCTTTAAATTCTCATCTTTTTATTAGAATGTTGGGACATGGTTTTCTTTTTTTTGTCGTTAAGAATAGATACAAGAATGGGCCGAGAAGCACATTGAGAGGCTGAAATGCCCTGGGGAAGAAGAGACGGTGACGAGGTTCAAGGAGGGTTTCATGGATGACACAACGTTTGATTCCTTGCGTCTCCGCATCGGTTATCCCTACTTGTATCTCCATGACTCCACGTGCCACCACATCGTCATCGTATCTTTGGTTCGGCTGTACAACAAGGTGGACGATTGGAGACTGAAGGCACATTATCCAGCCGTGCGACGGCATTGTCGGTTCGCCCGACGGGTCTGTCAGATTTGCTCCAGAAGGATCGCTTTGTGAGTGGAAACGAAATGGGGGGGGGGGGGGGTGAAATATGAGGGAGAGTTTCTGGAAAGTTTTGCGACGAATTACAGTGGCATTCTGATGAGATCTGACGATCATTTTTCTTTGAAGAAAAAATTAGTGCGATCGGTGAACGAGGTTTTTCTCAGATTTTTCCATTTTCTGACGCATTATTGATGCGATGATTGTGTTGCAGAAATTTTCAAAAATTCTTCGCAGTACTTTTTTTGTTGTTCGTCTTGAAAAAAAAAAAAAGATAATCGTCGCCTCTAAAAGGGGGTAGCAAAATTATTCAAGTGCAAGACTGATGAGAACCCTGGCAGAGTTTCGACGTTTGCTCATGTTGTATCAACTTCGTCAATTTTCAGATGGCTCGTGGTGGGACACAAAGATTTCCCCGAAGAAGTGTCTCCATTCTGCGATTTCTGCCTCTATTCCATTTTGTACAATGTGGAGAAGAGGAAAATGACCAACTCGAGGCGTTTTACGGTCGATGTGCAGAAGAAGGGAGATTTCAAGCTTTATCGGGCATGACAAATCTGTGATGGAGATCAAAATGCATGCTCTCATTTCTTTCTTCTCGAGTTTCATTTCCACTTTTGACGGGGAAACGACAAAGGTGAACGTGGACGGATGCACTAGGTTTTCCGCATCGACGGCCTGTCTCGTCAGATGCGGAAGAATAGGAGGTACGAGTGGATATTATCGAGACTCGCATTTCGATTGAGTGAACTGCCATGAATAACTAAACCAATGTGTGAGTCGAAGTGGTCTTTTGCATCCACGAACGGAGATAAGAACCGCGAAATCCTCATCATGTGAGCTTTCGTGGACAGATTTTTGATTATCTGACAACTGTTCCCACCACAGATCTCATCGATCGGATATAGAAGAAGAATGTTTGCGTATTCATCCTGGTATACTCTGTTTTTGTGAAGAAGATTCCGCGCGAATGCCTGTTATACAGATACAAAGCCAACTGTAACTGAATCCTTTTAGCTTGTGAATCAATCACTGCATAGGAAGACGGAATTGCGTCGACGAAGTTGATGATCGAACATCTGCGGCATCTCCAGGAAGAGAGGGAAAATGGAGTTGGTATGCTGGCCACGTTCACGGTTGAAATCAGTTAGGAGGACTCGATTTAGCTCTCGAGGAAAAAAGCGGGATTTATTTTGGAACGGTCATCTCAAGGTTGCGCGTAAATTTCAGCGTCAGAAGTACGGCGGAGAGTACATCCAGGAATAGGATTTTATTTTTCTCTCTTTGAGAGAGATAATGAGACTTGAGCTCGAGTCTAAGGTTGATCCCGCGCTGATTGATTCATGGCCTGATCAGGAAAATCGCGACCGAGGGTACTTTTTTTTTTAGTTTATACGTTTCGCGTCGTTCATATTTCTTCAGGCTGACTCGACCCGAGTAGAGCCTATTTTTGATGACCATTAAAGGAAGAAAATCATTCTGTATCACAATCGAGTATGAAAACAGAGGAACGTACATACACGGCATTTTCTCCATCGTCATTCGTGCCTTGGGGAGAGACTTGGGTTCTGGAAAATACCTCTAGCAGAGAGCTGCGTGTGTGTGTGTATCAATAATCTACGTAATTGTGCTGAAATATTCTTCAAGAAAGGATTATGTTCATGAGGATATGAGGCGCTTTCACCAAGAAACGTGTACGGTACTGCTGTACATCAGTATTAGATTGTATTGGCTATCCATTAGCATACTGGGCAAAATTGGATTTTCCAAGTGACATGGATCTTATGGGAAACAAATACCACTGAAAATCAGTCTGCATACTCAGCACTGGGGCAACATTTGTACCTGTTAAACTTTCCAACTGAAGATTTACGCACAAGTGACGCAACATGCATACCAGGATGTACCGGAATGGTGTACCGCACAATGATACTGGTTACACATAGACTCTCAGAGGTCGCTCCTCTCCCAATACACCTGTATTTCACAGTATGATCCGTATGCTATGCAATATGTATACATGCGTAAGTCAATAAATCCAGCATTATGGGTTCAGTACTGAGTTGATGGAAATCGATGCCTTCAATAAATGAAGGCTGTCGATCCTCGCCACTGTCCCCCATTGGGATAATCCGTGTCACTCATAGCCTGTATATATACAGGTGCTGCTGGTACAGTATAGAAGTACATCAGTACTACAGTATATACATGTGTCACAGCCAGGGGAGCATTGACCCTGTCTCTTCCAGGGCATACCTTTTGTCTTGAATAACCGGGTTATTGATGATGATGTGGCTGACCTAAAATGATCCTCGTCACAAATGCCGCCATATTTGTGTCGCCGTCAATTGATGAAGTGCGCGACGTTTTCATTGAAACCGTCGTGGATCGATAAACAACTTTCAGAAATATTAATTTTACATTTCCAGATTCCCAGTCTATCATAGAGGTTGTTTTTTGTATATATACAGTACATGTATAGGTTCCATGTTGAAAAATCTTGATCAAATGCATGAAATGGGTTGTAATTCCTGTAGTACGTAGTATATACAATGAATTGTTGGCCTAATTCTTTGCATATGCCATAAGGGTTATTTGATATGGGGGAAAAATTGCGGGAAATTGAGCAGGTGCAACATTCTGACTTCATCAAAAAAGCAACATTTAATGTTGTATACGGACAGGTTGGTGTTCAAGAAAATAAACGGCATGACATATTTCTTGAAAATTTTATAGCTCCATTTAAGAAGAAATGTATGAATTTCTTTCAAGTAAAAGGATATATATTAGAAGGAATTTTCCTGTTTTCAAAGAACAAAAACCATACATGATAAAAATGAATGAATAAGTTTATTTGATGGAAGGAAGTATATGTACTTGAATACTTCTATGTAATATTTTTTCAAGACAAAGAGAAGTACAGTACTGTACTGTGTTTTGAAAATGTTGACATTTTTCATCTGAGAGGCTTAGAAATTATGACAGGTCTTAAAGCACCTGTTGTTGAAGCGATTCACAGAATTTATTATCCATTCTCCACCAAAATAGATTCCACAAACTACATTAAAAACCATCAGACAAAACAAATTGTATGAAGCCCCTGCTGGGAGTTTTCTGAAAGGTGTATATACCATGGGTCCCAAATTTTTGATTCCATCTTGTTCATCATCATCAAATGAGGGACCAAATGAAAAAAGACCAGCAGCATATAGACTTGGTGCATGTGATGAAAGCCGGCCAGTTGGGTGCAGTGGAACCCTGTTGAACCAGTGACCTCATTAGAAGATTTGATGAGCCAGGTTCTTGCAAGCAGCTCCTTGTCACGCGACATGAATGTGAGAGAGAATAAAAAGCCATGAAACCAAATTTTCGGGGTTTCATAAAAAAATAATGAAAATAGGGCTCCCAGCACAGAAATTAGGTCACTTACACACATATTTAAAATGCCCAATACATTATACATATGGACACCCTCATAGTCAGAAAGAGAAACTAATTATTTATTTCTAAATTGAAGGAAAGATTCAAGATCAAATCCCTTCTTATTGGATCTGAAAATTTCATCATTACAACAGGGAGGCATAAAGTTTTGGCACTGTAGTTCATTAGTTTTTGTCATTTTTATATAAAGACACAAGCAGAACCTATAACTCAAATACCTCATCAGCAAACTTGCTTCTCCTTAAATGAGTGAATATGGAAAAATAATCCCCTCTTATACTTGATTTGAAAGTTTCAGAAAGAGGAGGGTTAAAATAATGTGCATCTCAACTGAATGGAGTTTGTGGCACATTCTGAAGGAATTGACCAATGCTTTTCTTTTTAGATTTGCCTGCAGCAATCTTGATCTACATAGCCATAGGGGATTCATATATGGAGGTGCCTCTTGAAATGCTGTAATTGGTTTTATACATGCCACTATATATTGTGTAGAAGGATCAGAAAGCGGGTGGTCAGAAAAAGTTATTTTCTTATGCCCAATAGTAAAATATCTGGCTTTTTCTTATTGAATAATTCACCCTGCATTTGTCTATAATAATGACCAACATACATTTTACCTGATGGCCTGGGGCACTAATATACAGTACCTGTCTCTTTCAAGATCTCTTTCAGCAAAATGTATTGCACTACATACACAGTATATTCATACCATATTTAAAATGTACAGTAAAGGGATGACCAGAGAAAGTTGTCTGGCTCTGCAAATTATAATTTATGGATTCTGAAATGTCATGATCCTTTCAAGAGCATTGAGAAATTAGTGGCGCATTCATTTCTATGGGTCAGGTGTCTTAATGTTTAGCATAATTTTAATAGCAGGAAAGCCTGAAAAAAATGACTCAGCAAGGTTTGACCCAAAATACTTTGAATAAGGGAGGTTTAAATTTGAAATGAAGGGTAAAATTGGAAATAAGAATTGGGGATGTTCTTGACTGAATTATACAGAGGTTTCATCTGGCAAAATTGAACTGCTGCTCTACTGTACATAGCCAATTTTCATAGGATAGGTCAAGAAAAACGATAGAGCCTTGATAACTCAAACCTTCCTGTAAGTCAAATACCTTGCTACAGTATATATGTCAATTTTTCAAGTCCCTGGCTGGATTCCCTTTGAACCAGTGCATTTAAAAGCCTTCCTAACTCAAAGGCTTTCTACCTCAAATAACCTCCATGAATCAAATTTTCTGGAGGGCTTTTGGCTTTCATTTTATTGAAAAAGCTAAATAGGTAAGAGGAAAGCAATAAAAATGTAACTGGATGCATTTTAAAAATAAGTGAAAGGCTAATTGGGCAAATGAACCTATTTGCATCCCATCTATTCATTCAAAAAGCAAATTAAGGCCCAGATTATCACCAAGAGAATTTTACTCCCCCCCCCCCCTTCAGCAAGAATGCTAAAAAATTTGGGATTTTGCCTGACTTTGGCTCTTCCAGTCATTCTTGCTTCCTTTTTTTATTCTGTTTGGCAAGGCAGGATAAATCCTGTCACTATATATTGCCCAAGGGTTCAGGAAGGGTCCTGTTGAATAATTTGAGGCAATTATTCTCATTATTGAAGCAATAAATGAAAAATATATCCAGAAAATGTTCCATATAGTGCAGCTTACAACAGGTGTTGATTATTAGTGAGAAAAAAAGAATAATTATTACAATGCCCCCCCAACACAGCACAGCACAGCAATAGTCAGTCAAGCAGTCAGGCATGTCCCCTTCCACACACTCACATGAAGGAGCAGCAGCACACTACTATTCTAAGCCAGCGTGGAGTATTATAAGTGTAAGAAACGCAACAGGTCTTTGGCGCCTGTGTCTGGCCTTGCGGAGCCAGTGCAGTGGAATTTATTGCCTGATCACCAACCGGGAACCAGCAAAGCAGCACCAGCAAAGGCGAGTCAGTCGCCTGTGAACCCGGCTGCTGTGAACACATATATATGCGGCATTGCTGTATTTTAAAACACAGGTGCCAACCGGTGTATAGTGAAGTGCAGTGTGTTCATTCATTATTCTATTCAGTGTGTAAGACTAATATCAGTGGTCTGCAATAAATCAACTCTGGTCAACTGAAGGTTTTGGCCAGTTATTGGTGGAAAATA